AATCATTAACCAAGGAAACAGATCTGCTCCTAATGCAAAGGGACCAAGCATGACCAACTCTTCAAGTAGAGATGGGATGGGTAACAGGGACAGAAAAAGGGACTAATGTGGACAGGGTGCCTCCCACAGGGATGGGTTACTTTTATTGTGTTAGGTTTTTAGACAGGGTCTCACTAAATTGCCCAGGCTGGCTTCAAACTCAGTCTATAGTTCAGTTTGTCCTCAAATTGGCAATACTCCTGCCTCTACCTTACAAGTGCTAGAATTCTAAGCATGTGACATCATGCCCAGCTCTGCTATACCATGTTGTACTTTGTTTCAATGTGCACAAAACTGGCAACAGCATTAATCAGAAAGCCATTGTGTTGTTTCCCTTTTGATGTTGTTGCTTTGTTGGAGACATCTCCCATTATAGCTTTGGCTAGTCTGGAACTTTCCCTGCACCCCGGGATAGCCTTGAACTAGCAGCAATCCTCCAGCCTCAGCCTCCTTCCCAAAACTGCTAGAATTATAGCTGTGAGTCACTACATCCTAAATATTCCCTTCTTTTTACAAATGAAGGAGCAGGGGCTTAGATTCCAATAGTTGCCCAGCTAGTTAGCAACAATTCTACATTCAAACAGGAGCTCAGCCCCAAAGCAGGGCCTCTCTGAAGAGGATCTGTCAGCCTGCTCCCCATCATACCATCTAGATTATAAGTCTCCATGTGCACTTCTGGTGGTGTCCTAACCTCTAGCCTGGGGTCTGATAGGGTTCATTGCTTCTGAGTTCATTGGCGCAAGCAGAAGTGACTGGAGATACTTAGGAGACAGCCAGGCTGTCCCCTCAAGCCAACAACCCCAAGAAAGCTAAAGGATGTCCCAGTGGGAAAGGCCGAGTACCAACCCCCCAGGGCTACACAGTCATGGGGCACACAGGTACAGAGGCAGTTCAGCACCTGTCAGTCAGTATCTGGGTAATCTTGGAAGAGGAATCTCTTCTGCACAGCCTCCTGGGTTACTGCTTGAGGAAAGACAATGGCCTGGTAATGCCACCGGCTGCTCTAAGGATTTCAGAGCTAACATAAATCACCACTGGAGCAGTGCTGTTGCTTGCACCCTCCTGGAGTTGGTGACATCTTCTTACTCTCAGCAGCCTGCTGAGGATGACTTCAGGGCCTGCAGGAAGATGCTGGTGGACCCAGTACCCTAGCCAGGCTTTGGGATGATGGTTCCACTCTTTTCCCTTCGTGACTCTCCACAGGCCACTCCACTCAGAAGAGACATGGATGCCAGACTCTCCTCACTCCCTGGTGATAGACCTGCAGTCTAAACATAGCTCTACTGCTATCCATAGTGTGCCCTGCAGGGCAAAACCTCTGAGCAGAGGCAGAAGGTTCCCTCCGTGAAAAGGCACATGATGATAATGTGTGGAATATTACTGAAGAGGAAACAGTAAAGATCAACTTAACCCTGTGTCCTAGGCTGTGTCTCTAAGCACCCAGTACATGCTATCACGTCAACTTCTCCATCTTCAACATGAGAAGGTCTTCTTACTGGTTTATAACTAGAGAATAATTAAGTAGCAGAGGCAGGATCCAAACCAGTCTCCTTTGTCTTGAAACTCATAGCAAGAAAAAAAGAGGGTCCCATGCTGATTCTAGGCCTGACTCCAAGTTTACCTTACATGGCTTTGTAGGACGGAATGACATGGCAAGTACCTTCCTGATCTGTACCCTAAAACAGTGCTGACCCCTGGGGAATATGCTTATCCACCTGGGCTGAGGTCTAAGGCTTAGAATATGGAGGCCAGAGGAAGCCAGCAGACATTTCTGGTCTGGGAATCATCTGGATTCTAATTTTCTCATTTCCCCGGCCAGCTCTTTGGCATTTCTCTAAAAACATCCTATCTATAGTAAGAGGATAGTAAAGACAATGGAGGGAGATGGGCTGGCCACTGAGGCACATTCTGGCTCAGAGTCTTGCTGTGAGCTGGAGGGGGATGATGTGGATGAGACAAATCCCCAGACAGATGCTGAGATGGCACAGTGTCCCCAGAACTCTTAGAAACATAATTCACTTGGTTTTTGCCAAGCTAGAAACAGCCACAAGAATAACTTCACTTTATCAGAAAAAAAAATGTAGCTAGAAGGATAATTCATGCATGTTATGTTCTCATCGCCAGTGCCCTGTGTAACCGTGAATTAATTCGCAGAAGGACACAATGGGAGATGACAATGGTTGCACCAAAATGACAAGTCTCTTTTTCCAAGAAAAGAATGGCTCTTTACACAAAGCTGCCACTAAAATTCCTTTGGCTCAATACCAGACTTAGAATGGCTTGGGATGGCAAGAAAGTTCACAGGTCATGCAGCATGAGGTCAGATGCATGAGTTCCTCCCATGATGCTCCTCAGTGGGGAGGGGAGGTTAAGAGACCCTAAATACCCCCATACACAGGAGAAAGCTCCTCTTCTCTGGGGATCTGTCACTTAAAAGGATGTTCCTGGACTATCCACAGCTCTGGTTCCTCTTCTCCAGAGCTGTCAATCACTCTACATGCACAAAAATAATCCAACCAGAGGCATCATTGGTTTTTGTTGTTATTTGATCTATAATTATTCTAAAGTGATTACTCCTCCAAATAACTCGAATCTCATAATTTTTCCATATCACCAACACTGAAAGCTGATTACAATCAACTGGCTTTGACAGAAAGAAGGGATAAACAAAAAAAAAAAAAAATAGATTTTAAGAGAATCCATTTGGCTAAAAGTATCTCCGTCAAGCATCATGTTCCCAGCCAGCAGACAAGTGCGGGACACTTCTCCAGCAGTGCCCAGCCTACCCTGGAGGTTGGGTAGGCAGACTTCAAACTGAGGAGTTGGAGGATTCTTCTCCCTACCATCTCATATTGCATGCTAGGGAAAGAGAGGCCCAGGACCCAATATCTTCCCCCTTGTCATTAAATGCTGCATGACTTGTAGGTGCTCTGTAGCTAGTTATGCACTGAGGATGCAGGATGCTGTGGTATTCCCAGGTCTCTCAGCATGATACTCAAGACAATGTCACCTGAGGTACTGAGCAGGAAGTGACCTACTGTGTGCATAGTTAAAGCTGGTCTTAACAAAACTTGCACAAGGGACTCAAGGGCTAGGCTCAGGTTTCTTTCTCTAGACTCTGCTGAAACACTCTCCTAGCAGACTGCCTGCCCTTTCCCTTATGCCATCATATCCTCTACACTTGACCCATTCGCTGCACATGGTCCTCTGACTCTTCCTTAGCTGTCCACTTCCTTCTTCTTGCTACACTTTGGGGGAGTCACAATCACTGACTGTATTAACTTAATGGACTGACATTATGTTGCCCATACAATGCTTCTGTTAGGTTTGGGCACCTGCAGGGAGATAGTCTTTGGTTTTCTCTATCTAGTCCAGTTCATCTGGCACCAGGAGATTCCTAATGAAGCAATGAATCTTTCAGAGTCTGAATGGCTAGCAGGAGTTTGTCACACACAGGGGAAATATTTCTAAGCACACACATTATGCTTGAAGAAACTACTTGACATCCTTAGAGTGGCAGCTCAGACCACGGGGACGGGTGTAGGGAGGAGGGGCCGTGGGAAGAGCTGGGATTAAGTTTCTGTCACATGGGCACAAGCAGATGAGGTGTGTGCTGAGATGCACAGGCATTAAAGGAGTTATTTGGTGGGGGCAGACATGGGCAGAAAGGCTAGTTCAGCCTTTGCCTGTGGGAGAGGCCTGAATAAGGGGCTTTGTGCCCTGAAGGCTCCATGCAAGTAGCTAAGAATCCCACAGGTCCTGAGGATTCTGTGAGAGCCTTGAGATCTTCCCCAGAATCCTGAGAGTTCCAGGTTGGCCTTGAAGATTCTGCCAGGATCCACAAGAAAGGAAATAAAACATGAATTCATACTGGAAAGCAGAGGCAAAAGCAACAGATCCCAGAGACCAACCTGAGGTTTGGGAGAGGTACAAGATCAGTGTTGGCCATGAGAAAGTCCAGCACAAACCAGGCATGCAACTACAGCCAGGAACCAGGGCTGTGAGAGGCCAGTCAGTGGGGTGATATGATGCCACCATGGGAAACCTTATGAAAACCTTTCTGAGGGACAGACCTCCTTGGTCAGGAGTGAACCTGCTAGTGTTTACCCAACGTGATGATGAAGCACAAGGAAGTCGGTCACAAAGGCAGGTCTGAAATTGGGAGGCTGAGGCAGGGGGATTGAAAGTTTGAGGGATGAATGGTGAGACCTTGTCTTTAAAAAAAAAAAAAAGAAGAAGAAGAAAAGAGAAAAGCCTATCATGAGAAACTGTAGGAGGCAAGGACCGCACACACCATACACACCATACACACACACACACAGAGAGAGAGAGAGAGAGAGAGAGAGAGAGAGAGAGAGAGAGAGAGAGAGAGAGAGAGAGAGAGAGAGAGAGAGAGAGAGAGAGATGGCAAAACTCAGGTGACATGATAGGAAAGAAATAGCTTCAGAGAAGACATTTTCTTCTCTTAAAACTCCTCCAGACAGCCAAATTCCATGGCTTTCTTTGCTGAATTCAAGTAACATGCTTTTATATCATTTCCATAAAGTACCATTACCAATCAGCTAGGTAATGGCTTCACCCCACTCTGCATGTCCCAATCACTGCAGACACAATGGTCATTAATCTTGTGGTTCCAAGAGGCCTTTCTATTGATGACAAGCCACATATACCATATACCCATCTTTTCACAGTACCAGAAGGTCCAGGCACTTCTAGGAACTACCCAGTCCAGAAACTGACACAAAAAAGCCCGTCTACACCAATACTGGTCCATCTTCTAGCCCAGCATGCTTGCTCTCCTCACCACTGTAGGACAAAGCTCTATAGAGCAAACAATGGGCAGGGTTGGCTCAGAACACACTTCTCCACATAAAGTAAAAGCAAAAGGATTTATCCCAGCCCCAGCAATTATCCAAAGTGTACAGGGTAAAGCACAGAAGGAATCAAATCCACCAGCTCACCCTCTTCCTCAGGTTGTATGTGAGAATCAGGTTCCGGGAGAAGGAGTGGGAGAAGGCAGTGTAGAATTCTAGCACTTTCTGAAGGGCGTCCCTCTTGATCACATGCAGGTCGCAGTAGGTCAAGGCCCTAACATTAGCACAGGACTGTGCAAGTGTGGCTTCCTTCCAGAACACGTCTCCAAACACGTCTCCTTTCCCTGAAGAGAGAGAGTTGTCATGAGCACAGGGTCAGTAAGGAGATCCGCCATCACTGGCAGCCTGCAGGTTGGGCTCAGAGGGGTAAAAAAGAAATCATAACATAAACCTTAGTAACGTGCAATTCAAGAGCCTTTGAGATAGCACATAATTAATGATGGCAATGTTACCATTTTGCAAGGATGATGCTAGTCGCCCTAGAAATCCTAACCCTAACCTGTCCCCATTATTCTTCACCCACAGCACCCCGTGTAACCTGCAACTTTGTGGTTTGTTGTGTACCTTTGCACACAAGAGCCACATGCCCTACTCTCCTCATAACACAATGCTTTATCTGCTGGATATCAACTTATTCTGAACTGGAATATTCCACCCTGGAGGGAAAGCTTCTTAAGACTTGGGAAGTCTCAAAGTAACTTGGAGTCCCAGGAAGTCCCTGAAACATACCAGATTCCCAAGGCTCCTCACTTCTCAGGGTTATATAAGCAGTAAGGACTGTTAAGAAGAGGGGATTCTTCAGCCTGTAAGCTACCTGAAAGCCAGGCAGAGAGCTCCAGGGTGACCACTTTCATTGCTTGCCACCCATATAGCAGTGGGCTTTAATGGTGTATCCATCCACCTTTGAGCTAAATGTGTTTGTGTAAGCACCCTTCACAAAAGGGCCCCAGAGAACTTTCTTATGCTATTTCTTACTGTTGAAGATACAATAAAAGTGGGCAGTCTGAAGCTAAAGAAGTTCCTCATAAGAACCTGACCATGTTGGACCTCTGACCCCAAAACTGTAAGAAAATTCTTTTGCCTATATGCAACCTTCCCATGGCATTTTGTCATAGCAGCCCCAAATAAGACATGTAGTAACCTTCGCCACCATGTGCTTCTCCATCTCCTCTGACTCAGAGATATTCTTTCATAACTATATTGCAAAGCAGAATTTACTCCTGGCACAGTCTCCAGCTACATGACTTGATTGTTCATCTTGATTTTAAGTTTTCAGGGCAGACAATCACAGGTATGGATTCCCAGGGATCCAGAGAGGAACACACAGGAGGAAGGAGAAATCAGGAAATGTTTGGCCAGGCTCCCTAGACCCAGGTACCCCTGGTGCTCAAGTAGAAACTGTTTTCTGCGAAAGGCAAAGGAAACTGTTGTAACTTGAGAGGAGCATCTGACAACTTTTTCTCTAGTACCAAGTGTCTGATTCAAGTCTATAAGACACTCCCTAGTCTTGTCTAGCACCTCTAAAATGCAAATCGATACCTCAATCTCCCCCTCAAAACAAGTAAATCATGCACAGCTTAGGGATGTTACGTCATGGTTCCCTATGTGTCTCTTGTTCCAGTATGAAAGTGAGTTTAAATTCAGTGTGAATGACATTCATGGGGTAACTTCCAGGTAAACATAAATGCTGTTTAGCTCTCTTTGCCAAGTTCTAATTTTCTCTGACTGTGATATGGGCAACTAAGACAGGGGTATGGCCAATAGTTACAAGCTTTGCTGTGGGATGCTGCCTGGTTACTCTGGAAACAGGCTTTCTCCATGGAGCTCTCCCACTGAACTCTGGGGGCTCACCTGTAATCCTACAGCCTTCTCACACTGTCCACCACAACTCATGTGCCCTTCACAGCTATGTAATGTTGTTCTTTTAGAAAACATGCCTCCTCTGAAGAAACATGGCAAATCTTTGGCCACCAGTTCCTTCTGGCAGTGTGGTTACAGTTCTAACTCACTTAGGTAGGTAAATTACAACTGGACTTCATTATTTAGTCAACACAGTCTGGTAGAAATGACATTCTTGGATTTTGAGACAAGGTCATAGGAAGCCGGCAGCCCAGGTCTCAGAATATTCATTCCAGGAAGTCTCTATCTTGAAATATGATCAGCTTGGGGAAGACTGAGGGAGAAAGAGCTACACAAGGTGTCATGTGAGTGCTCTGGTCGCCTGTCCAGGTCTCTTCTGATAGCCATAGCCACCAGTTACATCAATCGGCCTCTGGCTGGGCCTGCCCAGTCGGGCCTTTGGGTGAGTACAGGCTTAGAAACCACCTGCCTACAGCCAGCTGAGAAGCCTATCATGAGACAAGAATGAATGTCTTAACCAAAACATGGAAGGAGCTGTGACCTGGCAGCAGACACGTGAACACACAGATCACAGAGCTCTGGGGTGAGAAATGGCAGAGCATCACCTGTCACCCCAGCTCTTGTTGGCACCCCTTGTGCCAAGAGAGGGCGAAGATCCTCTTGAAAGGGCAAACTTTCCCACCAGTGAGATGCACGAAGTATCTCTAACAGGCTGACTTCCCTGGTCACACGTTCTGAGCACCAGCAAGAAAGACAGCGTTACAAGCTCTGCTGTTCTTACTAGAGGAAACATGGCATAATTAAGCTGTAACTACTGAGTAGAAGCTGATTGGTAATTTTGTCTGTTTCTTATCAAGATTACCTCATTTAAACAAGACCCAATATAGAAGCATTATGCTCCTTTAATGAAACTGGGAATCATTTTCTAATTATAGGAGAACCTGGTAAAGTGAAATAATAGCTCCTCGTGTGCATTTAATAAATGTAATAAATGAATGTAGCTGTACAGACTTCACTTACGAACCCTCTCAAGGGGCGCATCTATTGCACAGAGCATAGGCCACCATGCTGGGGTGAGACACACATGAAACAAATGCCCCGGAGACGGCAGCATCTCATACTGCGAAGTTCTCCACAGGGCTTGGTGTTATCATAGCATGGGCCAGACTTCCAATCCAAGTTCAACCACGTCTCACCCAACTTCCTGTGAAGACAGCTGCTTGGTGTAGATGATCTGGGTGTCGGAGTTAAGAATACGTTTTACAAGACTCCTTGAATCTCAAACAAACCCCAGGCTCCTCAAGCAAATGGCAATTGGTTTTTTTTTGTTTGTTTGCTTGTTTGTTTGTTTTGGTTTTTATAAATAAAATGTTTAGATTTATTTTCATACTAAAAGAGTTTTAATTCAAAACTTGTAATTTTTAAAGCTCAAACTTAAAAACCTAATCTTAATCTTATAAAGCTACTAATTTATTGTAAACTAGTAAAGATGTTTAAGACATGCAAGTTAATAGTACAAGTTCGATGGCAACTGTTTTTTAAGAAGTGTGTAACCCACAAAAGCCAGCAGGAGCAAAGTGGGACTTTTGCAGGCCTCATAGGTGCGACACAAATGGCTGGGAAGAGACTTCCCAGGTCAGAGACTGAAAGAAGAAAGCGGTGACAGGTACTGTGCACATTCTTCCAGCTGTGAGAGTGGCATGACCATCCACTCAAGAACACCGGGCATTCAAACCACTCAGCCAACCAGCTTACCAATCAGAGTGTAGAGTCTAGAACATTAAAAGCTTACCATGACTGCCTAGGTCATTCTGAATGGATGTTCTGAGCTGGGGGAGGGGAGGAGGTAGGGAATGACTACAGGGACCCTAATTAAAACAACCCAACAGCACCAGGCTCCTCACCCTCATAGGCCACACACCCATCTCACCACAGTCAACCATAACGTCTCTACCATACTCACTATACCCCAACACGCTATGACACATTGTTTCTAATAACTTCTTATGTGGCTTAATTTTTGTTCTTTTGTTTATATTTTAATTAGTTTATTTCTGGTTTTTCAAGACAGGATTTCTCTGTGTAACAGCTCTGGCTGTCCTGGAACTCTCTTAATACACCAGACTGACCTTGAACTCCCAGAGATCGGTCTGCCTCTGCTTCCTGAGTGTTGGGATTAAAGCTGTGCACCACCACTGCCCATCTTATTTTATTTATTTATTTATTTATTTATTTATTTATTTATTTATTTTTGAGACAGGATCCCTCTATATGACTCTGGCTGTCCTAGAAATGGCTCTGTAGATGAGGCTATCTATAAACTCACAGACATCCACCTCTCTTTGCCTCCTAATGCTAGGATTAAAGGTATATGCTACTATGTCCAGTTCTGGAATTAAAAAAAAAAGTGGTGTGTGTGTGTGTGTGTGTGTGTGTGTGTGATGTAGTCATGTGGGCACACACATAGCACAACATGTGTCAGACAGGCTATAAAATATTGGTGATAATTACAATGGTGACATTTCTGTCCAGTGAAACTCATCCTATGATATCTTCATGAGCTGGGGGCCAGTCCCTGCCCCCATCCCTGACTCCTATAACATTCACTGCCCTGGCCACTCTCCCTGTTCTAGTAGTCCCTTCCAGGCTCCCGGACACACAGCCTATGATTTCATCCTCAACCCCTATGCCTCTGCTGGAATGCGACTTTTGTTTTCATGCATCCAGACCACGTTGCTGCCAGGCTTGTACCTCAAGTCCTATTTTCCTATTCTCTACTCTGAGTCCAGAATCTTCCACTGGACATTCACTCAGCTCAGACCTTTATATATGAGGAATGAGTGGGTCTCCTCCGAGGTGAGCCCACCATCCTCCTGGATGGTTCACCCCGGTAACGACCCCTCTTATTCCTTATATAGTGAATGAACGATTTACGGCCACTTCATCTACCAACTACTTTTGGGCTCTTTCTCCCCTCATTTAAACAGCTGTGGAATCAGGTCAGGCTACTCTTAACTCTAGTATCCTCCTTGTTGGTCCCCTGCCTCTGACCTTGGATCTTTAATTCAATTCCCAAGCAGCTGCCAGGATGACTTTTCTAAGCTCAAGTGCAATTTTCTCCCTCTTCTGTTTAATGCTGTCACTGAATCCCCATTACTACTCCACGTCCATCTTACTAAGGCAAAAGGCGGAACAACATTGTCCCAGGCAAACTGAGCTGCTTCTTATTACTAGATGTGGCTCCCAGTCTTTGTCAGTGTCATCCCTGCTGCAGATGACGTTGCCCCTACTTCACTTCCCACTCTCTAATCTCCTAGCCCTGCCCCAGCCAACTGTACCCGGTGGCGCTGCGCTCTGATGCCACTTTGTCAGGAAGTCTTCCTGTACTCTCTGTGGCTGGGCTGGCTTAGACACCTGCTGTAGG